GCTCTCATCAGGCAGCAATGACCAAAGTTCATGATGGAGCTCAACAAGGGGATCTTCTTTATGACCATTTGAGTGAAAAGGAAGATCTCTGGTTTGACTTCATGGCTGATACTGGTGACGGGGGCAACTCATCTTATACTGTAGCTCGACTACTTGCTCAGCCTTCCATTCAGCTTTCTAGAGGTGATTCTGTCTCTACCTTGCCACGTGGTGACTTGCTGCTTATTGGGGGAGATCTTGCGTAAGTTGTTCATAAGATGCTATTCTTGTATATGATTCATAATATCACCTGATGAAATGATAAAAAAAAACGTAATATGGTAAAGTTGTTATTGAGAAGCTAAAAGGTGACACCCCCTGATGTTTATCCTTTGAATGGCTGGTGCTGAATGTTTTCAAAGTGGGTGTATCTTCAAATATAGGTCTTGATAATGGGTGAAACTCAAGAAACTGCTGGGTATTTTAATTTTGGTTTTTTTGAATAACATTGCATGATCCAATCATTGTTAAGTGTAAGAAATCAGGTGTCAAAGAACAATATTCAAACTGTCATTTTCCCCTGTTGCTGTTGCTGGATTACTTTGATTTACAATGACATCTATTTCCAATTGTAAATGTTGAAACTTCATCAGTTTATCTATGATACACTTTCTGGCATCTTTTTTATTTATATTTTCCCCATCAATTGCCACAAATTTCATTGCTTTATTTATTTACTTATTTCTTGTGGTTGCATTTTTTAGGTATCCCAATCCATCAGCTTTCACATATGAAAGGCGTTTCTTTTGTCCTTTTGAATATGCTCTTCAGCCTCCATCTTGGTATAAACAGGAGCACATAGCTGCAAAGAAGCCTGAGTTGCCAGAACAGTTGTCTGAATTGAAGCAATATGATGGCCCTCAATGTTTTGTCATACCCGGAAATCATGGTGAGTTCTAAATCGCCGCTGAGCTAAATCTTGAGTAGACTCTCATTTCTTCTCATAAGGACAGCTTCTGTTGTTGTTTCTATTAAAAATTTGATTTGGTGTAATAAATTTATGTCTTTTTGACTTTACAGATTGGTTTGATGGACTTCACACTTTTATGAGGTACATATGCCATAAGAGTTGGTTGGGTGGGTGGTTTATGCCTCAGAAAAAGAGTTATTTTGCTTTGCAACTCCCAAAAGGATGGTGGCTATTTGGCCTTGATTTAGCACTCCATTGTGACATTGATGTGTACCAGTTCAAGTTTTTTTCCGATTTAATAAAGGACAAGGTAGAGATTGTTATATAGTATGTACTGTGATTGTTATGGTTGCCTCTTGCAATTGCCATTGACTTGGCAAAAATTTCTTTACCATGTCCATCACTAATTAAACTATGAAGAGTTAAGATTCAAATTGAAGACATTTGGGTGCAATTCCAGTAATAATCATAATGTCAGACTCAAATGCTTCCATTTCCCCTGGTTATATCTTTGCATTTGATAATCATAGCAAGTAAACCATTTCTCTTGCCTGTTAATAATTTCCTTCATCTCATTATTTGTGTTGCTGTTCTTAGTTATCAGCTGCTGTGCTTATTTACCATATGAAAACTTTATGCTGGTTGTTTCATAATCTGACCACTCAGTATTTATTCTAACAGGTTAGGGAAAGTGATTCTGTGATTATTATGACACATGAACCAAGTTGGCTCCTTGATTGGTATTGGAATGATGTTTCTGGAAAAAATGTCACACACCTGATATGTGATTACTTGAAGGGAAGGTGTAAGCTTCGAATTGCAGGAGACGTGCATCATTATACGCGTCATTCATATGTTTCATCAGAAGGACCATCTCATGCACAGCAAAATGAAGGTCCAGTTCATGTGCAGCATTTACTTGTAAATGGTTGTGGTGGGGCATTTTTACATCCCACCCATGTCTTTCGTAACTTTAACAAACTTTATGGAACAACATATGAGAGCAAGGCTGCATATCCTTCTTTTGAAGATTCAAGCAGGGTACTGTATTTTCTTTTCCTTTTTAGTTAACTATCAATTTCTTTGTGTTGCTTCTTCCTGGTTCACTTTTTACTTATTTTTTGTTTGTTTGTTTGTTTGGTGCAGATTGCATTGGGAAATATTTTGAAGTTCCGGAAAAAGAACTGGCAGTTTGATTTCATTGGTGGCATTATATACTTCATATTAGTTTTCTCGAATTTTCCACAAGTGAGTTTCTTTGAATTTTTATAATTAGCAAGCGTTTTGGGCCTGGTTAACCTCATTTCAGTTCACTTTGGAATGGAACCAAACGGCTGGTTATCAGGTTCCTCCATTTTTGTACCCTTCCTCGTATTCATCTTCAGTCTCTTGGATATCAGAACTTCAGAAGCCTTAGATGCATTTGTTTTCCTATGTGTGTGTTTTGTTGGGTATATTAGGTACGCTAACAGTAAGTGGTAATTGTGCTACAGAGAGGTGACTGATGTCTTTCCCTCCTCCATTTGTAGTGTAAGCTCAATCACATATTGCAAGATGATTCATTTTCTGGTCATCTGAGGAGTTTCTTTGGCACAGTGTGGAGTGCTTTCCTATATGTGGTGGAGCAGTCTTATGTTTCTTTGGCTGGTGTTGTGTTATTACTGATCACTGCAATTTGTTTTGTCCCTTCAAAAGTATCTCGAAAGAAACAAGCAATAATTGGAATCCTTCATGTTTTGGCACACCTAGCAGCAGCTCTTATCCTAATGTTGCTCTTGGAACTGGGTGTTGAAACGTGCATACAGCATAAACTACTAGCAACTTCAGGTTACTTTTCTTTTAATCATATGTTATCTGGTTTCTTTAATTCTCCTATAGTGAGAATTGTCTACCGTTGATAATTTCTATTGCTATGATAAATTACATGAATTGATTGGTTAAAAAAAAGTGCTATGACAAATTGATAATTCAACTCTGATGTTTATCTATTCATATGCAAGCAAAATGGATGGCTCGGAAAGTAACTACTCAAGGATTTTAGTACACTCAAAATGTTTTTTTTGGCAATTATCCTCACAAAAATTAGAACAACACAAATTAATAATGCTTTGGACGTGACTTGACTAATTTTGTTTTTGAATGTGTATGATGAAATATATCTTGTTAGGTTATCATAGTCTATATCAGTGGTATCAATCAGTGGAAAGTGAGCACTTTCCTGATCCTACTGGCCTTCGAGCTCGCATGGAACAATGGACATTTGGCCTTTATCCAGCTTGTATTAAGTATCTCATGTCTGCATTTGATATTCCAGAGGTAAGAACTCCCTGCTTTTTTTGGCCATATAAGAACCCTCTCCTTGTCTGGCAGATTAGATGCTTTCACATCACAGTAGACTTCTTCAGATGCTGATAAAAAAAAGAAAAAGGAAAAGAAAAACATTAGACTTCTTTGAAGCATACTGATGGAGAAATGTTTTCAGGTCATGGCCGTCACTAGGAGCAATATTTGCAAGAATGGAATGGAGTCACTCTCCCGAGGCAGTGCTGTTATATACTATGCTTCTGTCTTTCTGTATTTCTGGGTCTTCTCAACTCCTGTAGTTTCTTTGGTGTTTGGAAGCTACTTGTATATCTGCATTAACTGGCTTCACGTACACTTTGATGAAGCTTTTTCATCCCTCCGAATTGCCAATTACAAGGCATTTACGCGATTCCACATCAATTGTGATGGCGATCTTGAAGTTTTCACTTTGGCAGTTGACAAGGCAAGTGTCTAACATTGATTCCCAAATCCATTGCTTACCTGTAAAACTCCATTGTGCCCGTAGTTTTGACACAAGTGGTGGTCCTAATTTGACATGCAGGTTCCGAAGGAATGGAAGCTAGATCCTGACTGGGACAAGGAGGTTAAACAGCCACAACAGTTGAGCCACCGTAGAAAATTTCCTAGCAAATGGAGTGCAACTGCTGGTCAGCAGGATCCTGTAAATACTGTTAGGATTGTGGATCACTTTGTTATTAGACAAACAGATCAAACTGATTTCAGATCAGGTAATGGATCGGTTAATCGCTGATCCAGTTTTGTTAATTCTTTTACAGTTAATTGAAAAGGATAAGCGTAAGTTCTTTATCACCATTTGCTGATAAAGATGGAACTAAAATCATAGCTGGTTCCAAGTTCCAACAGTGATGATAGCTGCAAGCTTTCTTCCCAGAGGTTAGGTTAGTGACCACTCACCAGATTCACATGTCATTTGATTCATAGATGGTGGTGTGCTCCGGAATGTCAAAAACTTCCATTAGTCTATGCAGAAATAAAAGGTTTTTAAAACCCATTTTGGTTGAGTCCTTAGTTTGGGAAATTGAAGCAAGCTGACATTTCGTCACCATAACAATTGGTCTTGCTTTATCATCATTTGTCAACTTTGCTGCCTGAACCACTTAAGATCCTTCGAAAGACCTTGTGATAGTTCCAATCCAGTTTTTTCCCAAGTCTGCATCTGCAGTAAGTTTCAATTCCAAATTCTCGCGCAATTTTAAGGTACTCTCACTGTCACTTCCGGGTCTACAGTACACTGGGACTGCATTTTGTCGTCAATGTTGTGAAGCCTCATAGCAGTAAACCTTATCTACCCCGTAATGCCCTTGCTTTCTCCTGGATACAGCTTCCTGTACCTATTCCTTATCAACAGGGAAGCTGTAACATTGCTTTTGACGGTAGAAAGTAGAAACCGACAGCCGGTGACAATAATAAAGTGACGAAAAAGATTGTTTTATTTTATTTCAGCCAGGGTGTCCTCGGGAATGAAACCTTGAGGAATTGATTTTTTTTTTTTTAAGTTATAGAACCTTCATTTACTAGACACTTAACGTTATACTTAAATTTTTTTATTTAATCTTTTATTTTGTGATTAAAAAATATTAAATTACATGACAAAAACAGTTAAAAGAGAAGCAATCCAATTTTAAATTCTACCAATCAAATAAATAAACAAATAAATAAAAGTTAAAAGACTTAAGTGAGACTAAACTCAATATGAATTAAGCCTAAACAAGTTGGTTTTAAAATAAAAATTCCCAAAAAAAAATTCGCTCCTGTTTTCCTATAACTCTCACTTACTAATTTTTCCTCCCGCTACGTTGCTCGATTCCCTCCCATGCCAAACACAAAACCAGTCTCCTCATGGCAAATTCTAGTTCCGGAATCGGGATTTATGAAGAGACTGGTTTTGTGTTTCAAACTCCGACATCGTTACAGTCTTGTGTGTCGTCGTCATTTCTTACCATCATCCTCGAACAACCCCGTCGAATCCTCCAACAACCTTGGAAATTCCCATCCTGTCATCTCTCCTCCACCGCCACCGCCGCAAATTCTTCAAAGCCAACCTTCTGCTCTCTCCACAACCACCGCAACCCCTCTCTCACGAAATTCAACTTTTGCGCTTTCCGCAATCGTCGCCTCTTCCGCACTCTACAATCCCAATCCCAAGACTGAGCGCAAGAGGAACCATAATGGTTTCTACGACGCTATTGACCATGGCATCCAGAAATCCAGTGAGTCCTTTAAGAGGATCCTTAATCATGCGAAGCAAACGGGCGTGGCGGCCTCGGTGTTGTGGCATTCGCTGAGGTCGGTGCTCTCCCTGGCCAATCATGAAGTGCGAGTAGGGTTAGAGATGCGGGTGGCATCCTTGCTCGCGGACATTGCCACAGCCAATGCCAGCTGCAGGGTAGCTCTGGTTGGTGCAGTTGGTGGCGCGGTAGTTGACTGGCTTCTTGAGACGGTGGCAACCGCCTCAGTCGGGAGTGAGATCCAGGCGGAAGCTGCAAGGGCGCTGGCGTATTTGGTTGCCGATCCTAATGTGTGTAAAGATGTTCTCGGAAGGCCTCTTGCTGTTGCCAATTTATTGAGGTTCATCTTTAAGTGTCGGCCTCAGCGCCGGTCTAAGAAGGTCAGTTTGATTTAGGGCTTTTTTTTTTTTGTCATAATTATTTTGTTCTTAATTGTTGATATCTAAGACAAATTTATTAAGATTTTTGCACTTGATTTTGTTGGTGCTTCTAAATTATGTTTTGCCATTGATATATAGCTTTTCAGTGGGAGCAGCACTCAAGGCGTAGTTCATTCTATGTTTCTGATTCTTTGAAAGGTAGGCGCTTGCTTGTAGCTGCAACCATGGATATTGTGACGTCCAACTGTGACAATTTGGAAAATGTGTCGTTTAAGCCATTGCGACCTGAGAATGCTGAAAAAAGGGATATTGCAGCAGCTATTTAAGTTATTGAAGAAGGTGGCATTCATTCAGATGAGCAGCAGCGTGGGGATCATGAAGGTGGTGGAAGAGGTATGAAGGGAATTGGGACCAACATTCTGAAGGCACAACAGTATTAGGTTTGTTAAGACCAAGTGGGCTTATGAAGTTAGAGAATCCTGATCCTCTTAATGGAATATTAGATCAGCATACCTCTAAAACCGTTGCTAAGCATGATAATTCCATTGCAGAAGCCAATTTATCTTCTACAGTCATGCCAGCCCTCTGGATGATTTGCATTGTGAACATGTCGCTGTGCCTTTTGCAGCATGGGAATTAGCCAATTGGGCAATGGCATCAGATATCAACAGAGCTCATATTCACAAACTGGATCGGGATTGGTATGCTGTAATGACTGCTTTGTTAGCACCTGAAAGATCAGTGAAATGGCATGGGGGTTTGGTAGCTCAGTTGCTGTTGGAGGATCATTATCTTCCCTTAAATGATTCTGGATCTGACTGGGCTTCAAGTCTTCTTTCTACCATTTCACAAGCAAGCAAAAATGAAGACATTTCTTTAGCCCAGCTGGCTTTATCTGTGTTTTTAGTTTCTGTTGAGAGAAGCCTTGGGCCACAGAAGATAGTGATGGACAAGGGTCTTCAACTGATGAGAGATGCTGCAAAGCGGATGACAAATCACAAGCAAGTTCAATAAGCATTGGCAAAGGGTTTAGAATTGCTTTCTACTGGAGACATCCATTTATGTCTTGAAGAGAGTCAGAAGTGGTCCGGCATACTACTTCCCTGGATATTTGAAAAATCTTCCTCTGATGCCATCCAATCTTCTGCAATAAAAATTCTATCATGCATACTTGAAGACTATGGCCAGCATCTGTACCTATTTCTCAAGGAGATTAGCTATGATACTTAGTGATGTCTTGAATTTCAGCAAGAAGACATCTGTTAAAGGCGGCACTCAGCCTAAGAGTGACAAAATTAAGGTCCAGAGATCCTTTTTACTCACTTCTAATAACATGTTGAAGCTTTAATCTGGTTTGCACTCCTTCCTTTAACTTGAGAAGAATTATAAGTTTCTGCTTAAATTTTCAATTGGTTTTTACAATCTAATTGTTTTTCAGACTCAAATCGACCAGTTTAACATTCTTTCAGCTACACAGACTGCTAAGCAATTGGCGAATGCTGTTGTTAATCTAGCTGGAAACCAATTGCAAACAACCATTGATTCCATTGATACATTCCCGTTGTCAGATCTTCTTTCTCTTGAACCTTTTGCTGGAGCATTTAAAAATCTAAAGAAAGATAGTCCACCTAAATTTGACGCCACAGGTTCTGCATTGGCAACCCTTAAAGGGATCAAGGTGGTTGCTGAAATTTGTTCTGAATATTCTTTCTGTCAGAATAAAATTGTTGATTTTGGGATCTTGTGTTTGCTACAACATTGTTTGTTATGCGATGCTTATGAGAAACTAGCTGCAATAGAGGCTTATGATGCGTCTATAGCATGAGAAGCACAGGTGAGGTTTTCACATAATGCTGGTGAATCATCTGCTTCAAGTACAAATGATCCAATCAGCATCCAAGTCCCAGTGAAAGCTAATACAGTGGTTTCTTTTCACATTGCTAATTGAACTTTTGTTACTCTTGAGATGGATTTCTTAGGAAGTCTGGTTTTGAGTTAATTTCTGTTGATTCAGATTATGTGCCTATGCAAGTTGGTATTATTTCTTTTAACATCATTTCCCCATTTAATTACATATGAGTCACTGCTGTTTGCAGCATGGGAGGCCTGTTTATCAAGCAGATGCTGTGTAAAGCAAAGGCAGAAAATATTGATGACTTTGTGAACAATAGCATTGGAGTTGTATGTTGCTTCATAATTAGATATTTGCTACTTCCATTTCTTTGCACTCCCTCCTTCCCCATTCTTCTTGCGCTATTGTTTTGACACCTTTCAACTTTTGGCATTTGATTCTGATTTCAGGTGTTCTATAGCTGCCCACATTTTGGCAGCAAGCTTGCTGACATGCCTTGGTGCATGGGTCTAGTGTTTCATCCAGCCCTAACTGTTAGTATCTGATTGATTGTGAATTAAACTTTTTTTACATCATTATTGGACAATTAATTCTTCGGTTTTAGACTATTTATTTTTTTGATGTAGTTTAGGTTTTACTCTGTATAATAGATGAACTGATGTTTGTATTTTCTTGTCACTTTCCCCGTAAGATGTGGTTCTCCAAGACTCATTGAGCTTAATGACTTCCTTCTTCACCTTCATAAGAAAAGGATGCTTGAAGTCTTTAGTTTCTGTGAGGTAATAGACCTGCATCTAATCTCTCTCTCTCTCTCTCTCACACACACATCTCTCGTTGTGAATTTGACAGCTACAGATTTCCATATTTTGCAGACTAAGGTAACTCCAATTGTTGAAGGATATGGTGGATGGGCCTTTCGTGCAGAAATTGTGCCAATCGAATCAGCATATCCCAGTTTTGGTGAACTTGTTGTAAGTGTTATCCTGATAGTTAATTATTTCTCCAAATGAAGAACTTTTGAGTAGTTTTTCTAAAAAGATACCAACCATATTTGCAGCATGATGATTAGTTTTTTGAAATGGAAGGAACTTAGTTATTCCATTACAATGAAAAGAAATTTATTGAAAGCTTGGTCAAACTTGCAGCTAACTGCTCTTTCATCTACATTCTTGATATGAGATTCCTAATCATTTTGTTATTTTTCTAACTGTGAAACAGGTCTTGGAGTCAACAGATCACATAAACTCATGCAGACCACTCAGCCACACTGAGCCTTTGCACACAGAAATACTAGAATTTTTGCGTAAACTGAAAGCATAATATACATGAAGTTAACTTACCCACAGCATTGAATTGATATTCTTTCGTTGATATAATTAATCCTAGCATATGGAGCTGAACTTGACAGAGATAGTTGGATTTTTGCATAGACAATAATGGAAGTTTTGACATTCCGCAGCACAGCTTATCTTTGAATCAAATGGTCTCCAAATCAGTTAAGACTAACCTTACCTCTAGGAAGGGAGTTTGTAGCTATTAGTGAATCTACATTCCTATCATCACTGTTTATTATAGCACTTCTAGTTGGTCTCCTCAGTTTGTACATTAACATCCCTGGTCTTCTGTATTTTCTTGAAAGTTACCTTCTTGATTCATTACATATTCAAGCTCATTCGACACCTTTTCAGCTTCTCTTCTTCAATCTAAACAGCAGTACTCTTGCACAACTGACCTTTATCCTAAAATTATGACATGGTATAATCCAACTTTAATATCTCTAAGAACATTAGTTGTAGTTTGAAAGGATTAGTACACAAACAAGCACATATAACTGTTAGTTTTGGAACATACATAGTTGTTCATGAATCTTGATGATATCTTGTCTTAGGTTTCAGAATATATGTCGATTGGAATGAGACTAATTCTTGTTAAGTTTAACCAGATTTATATATGAACAAGTGAGAAAGAATCATGGTCATCTCCTTTCCCTTGGTTACTGGTTATCTATAATCTATATTTCACTCATCAAACTGGCATGGAATGCCCATCTACCATATTTGGATTGATTGCAACGGGAGCGTCCACCAATCCTTCACTATTAGCAAATCAACTGAAATTCTAAATATGCGTCTGGATTTTCATTATTTCGGACAGATGGTAGCCAATTGGGACAATCTCGTCCCTTAATTTTTTTATACACTTTTTTTATTTTTTAATTACGAAAAATGTATTTTTTTAATTATTATGTTAATTATGTTATATTTGGGTTGAAGGAAATGGAGGGGAGGAGAATTATATATATTCCTCCAACTTCCTTCATTCCCCTCCTCTTTTCTTTCCTTATTTGGATAACTAAATAAATTAAAAGAAAAAATAAATGATGTTTTTCCCATGCCTTCCCCTCTAAATTTTTTGGTAACCAAATAAAGAAAAATTTTTATTTCTTCTCAATTTCTTTTAATCCAACTATACTATTAATCTATTAAGTCTATCTATATATGCACCATCTGTTTCTCTTAACCCAACAATATTATTAATCTATTAAGTCTATTTATATATGTACATTGTTAGTTCCTTAACTTATTTAATATATACATATTTTTCATCTTTTAATTTAAAAGCTTAAAAATGAAAAGTGTGCATATATAAATAAATTTAATAAATTAATTGATAGAATGACGAAAAAAAAAATATTTTTTATAATTGAATGATAAAAAAAATGTATAAAAAAATTTAAAGACAAAAATTATACAAAATTCTTAAATTAAAGAACCAAAATTGACATTTAATCAAATTTATTTGGATAATGGAGACACAATGGATTTCATATTCAGTCTATATAAGTTTTTAATAAGAGTAAAGTTTGAATAAAAGTGTTAAATTTCCCTCTAATATAGAAAGTAGTGTGACAATTATTATTATGTTTTTTTACAAAGACTCCTCTTTCTTGTCAAATAATAAAGTTTCTCCTCTTTCTCACGTCAAATAAGTTTTAAGCTGAATAAAAATAGTAATATGTAATTGATAAACATGCTATGTATGAGAAGAGTCGTGTTCCTCTATATCGAAAAAATGAAACATATGTTTATCGTTTTTTTTTACGTTAACCACGACCAATCAACAAAAATAAAATGTTGACTACGCGCGATTATTGCATTTTTTTTCTATACAAATGACGTGGACAATCATGTACACGTTGATAACAAAATAACATAATTATAACATTACATCGTTACATAATAATGTAAAATTATAATATGATATATTATTATATAATTAAAATTTTTAAAAATTTAATTATAATATTATTTATATTTACTCATTTAATAATATATTATAATTATAAATTTATATTTTTATATAATATTATACTTATAATATTAACATATTTTGATAACAACTCCGAAGGCTTTAGATTAATTATGAGAAAAAAAAAGTTAGAGAGATCAAACCTTTTCGTCGCCAGTAGTTAATTTTGTGGTTGCAGATTTTCGTGTTAAGCTGTTAAAAAAAATTATAAAATTAATTAAATAACTTTAATAAATTAACTCACAAAAAAAATTCAAGTTATTTAAAATAATTTCACACATATTTTTAAAAACACTTTTATTTACCGAGTAAGATAATTGTACAATGCTATATTAATTTTTTACACATTTTTCTTATAAGTTGAAATGAAAAACACATATTTAAAATGAAAACTCTTGATTTCACGTTTTTTCTTTTCAGTTTTCGTATTAAGGAACATGGTCATCGTTTTCCGGTATCTTGCTTACTGAGGAACATCGGTACCGTCCATGTACTTTCCGCCCTTTGGAACTTTTTCCTTAGCGGCCACCCACGAGTATCATGAGTTTTTCTACTTAATTTTATAACCTTTTTTTAATTCATTTTCCTCTTTATTCTCATTAAAATGTATTTATTGGATAATAATAATAATACTATTTGTACCCGTTTGGGTTTATCAGCACCTACTGGGTAAATTGCACGGTGGTACTCTCAAACCATTGTTAAAATTTAGTTTGTGCCCTCTCCCCTTTTAATTGGAACAGTTTCATTCCTTTTATCCTCAATTTCATAATCTAAAATTAAAAATTTTAAAAAAGGTACAATAGAACAACTCATCTCATTATGCACAGCTAATTAAGGACCAATGAAATACTGGGTATTCGTCTATCGTCTAAGGCAAAATAGATGAATAAAACTAAATTATGAAATAAAAGATGACATGTGAATAACTTTTATTTATAATTTTCACTTATTATTAAATAAATAAATATATAATATTATATGAAAAAGTTATATATAAAAGTTGACCCTAAATTGTTTTCCGACAAAATAATTAGAAACAATAAATTAATTAATTAATTTAAATAAAAAGATTTCCATTTTAGAAAGATTTGCCAAGGGTTTCTATCTAAAAATATTTATGAAAGCAGTCATCACATTTGTTTTTTTCTCTATTTAGTCCATAACTCAACCTACGCCCTTTGCAGAATGAAAAGGGCATGATTAATTAGTAACAACTACGTATGTTAAGGTCTAGCTAAGGTCAAATCATTAATTTTAATTGATTAAGGGTTATATTTGTGCATATTGGATATGACATCTTCTTCTATCTTTTGAAATAATAAATGAAACGCGTAATTGAAAGTTTCATTTAAAGTTGTGTTAATTGATCAATTCAAGTTATTTTTCTTTTGTTATTAATTTGACGCCGCCTTTTGTGAATCAAAATTCACTCTTCCTATTTGAAATGTTCTTGTTATTCATCTAAATGATGCAGGTACATGTGGATAGCCAGCATCTATCATCATGCCAAACTCACTTAAAATCCACAAGCGATAGAGAAGGCATTCGCCACACGAAATAAATAAAATAATACTAAACAATATGCCAATCGGATAGGGTATTTTCTTTGGAGCAAGCCTGATAAGTTAGGTTAATTATTTGCCCACGTTCTCTTCATTATTGCAGTACTTTACAGCAACTTAGTCTTACCTACAATTCTCTTCAAAGTCTAACCTAAAATTCTTACCATGACCCAACTGAAAAAGGCAGTGAATCTAGAGGTCTAAATGTTAATTTTCCAATTGTTCCCCAACTTGAAGTATATCAAAATGGGGTAGGAACAAAGAAAGGAAACACCTACGTATACTTTTCTTCGACATACTTTAATATGTCCAATTGACTCCACCTATTTCCAGGAAACTAGTACTAGCCTGGTCAAATTTGCACAGTATTTCCTTTCTTTTCTTTTCTAATTACATAGTCAAAATTCCTTCACCAGAGAACGAGGGGAACGTTTATAAATACCCATATGCAAATGTGTGTTTTTGCATCAAAAAATAAGTCTCATTGCCCGATCCTCCAAAGCTCACAAAGCTCAAAATATTTCATTAGTTTAAGGCTCCTGATTTAAATTATTCTTTGTTCCCCTTCTTCATCCTCTTTTGATTAATTTGCAAACAAAGTGCAGGAAAATTTGCTAATGGAAGGGCTAATTTCAGCTTTAAAACCTCCAACTTATGGAAAACTAGTCACCATTCTCAGCATTGATGGAGGTGGAATCCGAGGGATTATCCCTGGAATTATCCTTAGTTTCTTAGAATCTGAACTTCAGGTAAAACTTTTATATGTATAATTATTATTTTTTTTTCTAATACTCACTCTTGCATGACTAATTAGTTAAACTTTTAAGTACAATAGTTCTTTAACTAGTGCACATATTGTAATATTGAATAATTCTGATTACTTCAATTCATGTATGCATGCATTGACTGATTTTTATCTGTTGTGAATAGAAACTTGATGGTGAAGATGCAAGACTCGCGGACTATTTCGACGTGATTGCAGGGACTA